ATGTAAGCTTGTAGTCCTTGGAAGGTAATTTGTTCATAAAGACTCTGAACTTGTACATATCACTGTCAGTTTTATTAATTATTGTTTATGAAATAACACCATATTTTATCATACTGACGTTACAATATAATATCAACCATTATCCTATTATATTTCAATTTATTACTTCGTATACATTTGTAAACAGTGGCAATAGAGAATAATATTAATGGTAATGATGATGATAATAGTGATAATGACCGTAATACTAAAGGTAATGATAATGAAAACAATAGTTATAATGATAATAATAGTTATGATGATAATAATAGTTATGATGATAACTTTCATAATGATAATAACAATAATAATGATAATAATATTGATTATAATAAAGATAATACACCTAGTTTATCTCAATGACGCCCCCCCCTTTAAGTTCAGAGAAAAGAGAAAACCGTAAAAACGCAGTAAATTCTAAAGAACTGGTTTTCACACTGAAAATTATCACATATGCGACCCGGATTGATTGTTTCTTTAGATACGTGTTATATACCAGTGAAGATATTGGTAATGATGTACAGATTATTCCCTGTTGCATGTACTATTAAATTGTTCTTGTAACCCTTATAAATATACTCTTCAAATCACGTACCCCTGTGCTCCCTTGGCGACCACAGTGACGTCACGCCATTTCGTGTTTACCCTCTCGCCCGTTCCTTCGAGCCGCGCGGACGGCCTCTGCGCGCCTCCTCTTTCTGCGCCTCTAACATCGCTTCTGAAGTGAAGACAGCCTTTCAGTCGAACCCGGAACTATCACTCGGACATCACCATACAGTTTCCTGGCGTGAGAATACAACCTGGAAATTGTTAACTGAACGACTGTGGAGGCACTGATGGCCGCAGTGGTATATTCTACGGTCTTTTCCCGCCTTTATTGGTAATGAAACTAATTAAAAGGGTATTAATTTTATTACGTTTTCTTCATGGTGGTAGCGGTAATGCACATAGGAACCATGAGAATTATAATGTTTATAATGCTAACGGTATGGATGGTAATGATTTTAAAAATAATTACGAGAATGCCCATGATATAGAAATTAATTATATTAATTAAAAGTTATCTTAATAATAATCATTCTACCAGTGCAATGAGAGCATCAAAAACAATAGTAATAACGATAAGAAAAAACAGTAAAAAGAAAAATTGTAGTAAAAATTACATTAATGAAATAAACGATGTTAGCATAATGATAATGCATAATGTTAAAGTAATGATAATGCAAGTAATTATGATATCAGCGACACGACCAAAAATAACGACACTACTACGACTACTACTAACAGTGATGATAATAAAGGTAATGATAATGATGATAATAAAAGTGATAATGAAAAAAGAAGATAATAAGGATAATCATAATGGTACAGATAATAATAATGATGATAATAATGAAAATGATAATAAGAACAAAACGACATCAGTAAAAACAATAACAATGATAACGATCGTGATGATGATGATGATGATAATGATAAAGATGATAATGATAATAATAATAATAATAATAATGATAATAATAATAGTAATAATAACAACAACAATAATAATAATGATATTAATAATAATAAAGAAATAATAATAATAATAATAATAATGATGATGATGATAATGATAATGATAATAATACACATAATGATGATAATAAAGACAATGATAATTATAGTCATAATGACAATAATGATATTGGTACTACGACTACTACTTCTAAATATAATGATGGTAATGATATCAGTAAAAATAATTAAAATTAATACGAAATTGTTAATGGAGATCGTGGTGATGATGATAACAGTATGGACGATAATAATGATAATATCAATGACAGTAGTAATAATAACAATTCAGTGATAATGCTAATAATAATGATGATAATAATGATAATAATGATGATGATAACAATAGTAATAATAATGATAATAATAATAATAATAATGATAATGAAAGTGAAATAATAATAATAACAATAATAATGCTATTAAAGATAAAAGTAGTAAGGATGATAATCCCAAAAAAATATTAGTAATAATGATGATGATAAAGAAAAAGAAAATGATAATGATAAAGCAGTGATAATGTTGATGACAATGATAATGATAATGATAAAAATGATAATGATAATGACGACAATAACAACAACACCAATAATAATGACAATGATGATAATACTCATATTGCTGTAAACGATATGCTCAAGGCCGGATGGTTCCCTCTTTCGCAACTGCCTTCCTCCTCCCTTTTGACACTTCGAAGGCCTAAGCAAGCATACACCAGCCAAGGCAATAGGTTACTTGGAGAATTACATTAAAATCACCTCTTTCTCAGGTACACTGGTGAAATCCATAAACGTATACTCGTTGGCAGAGCTAATAAAGATAATGATAATAATAATAGTTACCCCTATTGCGAAGATAGTAAGGGAAAATAATGTATTAATTTTTAAAAATCCTGGATCCGGAT